AAAGGCTGAAGCGATGACAGTGTTATTTGCGCGCATCCTTCCTGAGCTGGTTTAGTGAGGGAAAGCAGTTGCTTGGGAATTTGTCATTATTTCCTCTTGTGTTGTTTGGAACAGACTTAGGTGTTACCATCAAGAGGACCTGTCGGTTTGCAGCAATATAGCCCTTGTTTTCTAGTGAACATGCGAATACAGAGGGAATCGTCTCCCGGCTGCTTTGGAAGTGACAGCTTTCCACAGAAATATTCAGACTTCTTCGTTTAAATGTAGTATGCAGCCAAAGATTAAGAGCTAATCTTTCATTTCTAGTTGCTTTTTTTTTGCCAAGACTTTCTCAATTCATCAGTGACCTGATTTTTAAAAATACAAATACTGTGGCACAAACAGGATCCAAGGCCCCAGGGCAAGCTCATTTCATCCCTTATGGACCTCCACTGTTTTCAAACCAACCACAAAAGTAGAGAAGGAAAATAGCCCAAGTAACACAAATCTGAGATTAAGTCATGCAAAAAACTGATCCTTTGAAATGGGCAGGGACCTTTCTTCAGCATTCAGTGGGCTTTGGATCGGGCATGTGGGACCACAAAGGGATTATAAGTGTTTTTTCAGCCCTTCCTTTCAGCTGTGGATGAGCAGCGATGGGGCATTTCAGTCTGCGCCATGGGCAGCAGCATGGCTGAGCTTGCTCTCTCTGCACAGCTTTTGTGCATCCCTGTTGGACCACTCCATCGCCCCCCACCAAACCTGACTCTGTCCCCACCAGCACTGGCCAAAACTAGACCGACTTTTTGTTTGTCTCAAGTCTTTGATTACATTTACAACCACCAATAACTAATGTAGGTCCTCGTTGCTGTCAGCAGTGCTGGTTTAGTTTGTATCCCTTTCTTCTGCTCTGTTGTGTTTTATTTTTTCTGAAGTGTATGGGTTTGTCTTAATGTGACATCTCTGTGCAAACATATGCGTCTGAGGAAGGCAAAAGAGATTTATTGCATTTTGGCTAATACAGAGGAAAGGGGAAATTGCCTACATAATGAAACAGAAGATTCAGTTTTAACTATGTCATTTCTCTCTTGTCTCCGTAGTACTGAATACACAAATATAAAATATATAATCTACCTCCTCCTTCAAACATATCAACGTACAATTAAAACCCACAAAGCTTGACAACCTGTTGTCAAGTTGTTTAAGCAGTTGTTTCAGAATCTGACAGACAAACTTATAAACAAAACGTAGAGCACCAGATTGTGGGATGAGGCAGCATCATCACGTGGCTTCCTCAGTTATCTCAAAATTTGGAAAACAAAAAAAAGTAGAGGAATACTTTTTCTCCTTGAATAAATAACAGTTTAATTACATTATAGAAATAAAATATGATATGGTAGGAATACACTGGAAATCTTACAGAAATACTATTCTGCTACTGGTAGGTAAATGGTCAAAGCTACTTTTCATGACAATCTGAACAGTACTTGTGTACAAACTATTATACAGGTTGCTAATGAAAAATATTGCAGCAGTTGCAAGGATGTTACCAGCTCAAACAAACATCTAATGATACAATAGTCTTCTAAGAGGAAGTAATAATGTTAGATTTACAGACAATAAAGAGTTATGTTCTCCACTTTGAAACACCGGAAATAAAAAGCTCAGGTAATCCAATTTCTTTACCTCATATTATCACAAGGAAAGATTTTCCTTTCACTATGAAACAGCATCCCAAGAGACCCTGTAAACAGTTTATTCCAAGGTAGTATTTGAGATGTCACAGCAACGTCTACAATTACAGACTTTTTAGGCCACTGCTTGTACAGATGACTTTTTTTTTAAATTTTTCACTTATTTACATACATTCAGCCCAATAACAGCAGGTAAAACGCTCTGTCTATCTCACAATAGACACACTAAAATTTTCATCAAAAGGCCAGTGCAAGAAGATGTGGATAGTGATTGCACAGCATAGAGGAGATTATATTATACAAATATACAATTAAGACTGTTGAGAATCTAACTCTGCACGCATGTGACATAGATGGTCTTCTCGGTAGGTACGTGACACCTGGAGTTGGTACGCATACGTAACGGCAACTATTGTTGGTTGGTTGATGATGGTGGTGCGGGTGGCCGCGGAACACGGTATTGTTTGGCTGTGCTATCGCTAAGTGAAGGTAGGCAACTGCAAACTGGGAATACCTAAAGCTGAGGTTGAAGTACAGCTTATCGTGGAACGGCAGCAGATTTTTCTAGTGAGAGTAGTTTTACTTAGTGTGCAACGTCTAGGGAAATTGTTGCCACCTCTTTAATAAATGGTTCTAAGTGAACCGACACAGTTCCCAGAGCTTTAGAAAAACTCATTATGCAAATGAAGATACTGATGATAGACAGTAACATTTCACAGGATGCTATTTCTTATTATATCAGTAAGCACCAAGTTAAGTGCCAAGACAGCCCCATTGTCCCATGATTTATCATGTAAAATTTAGAACTTGAATGCACAATGAAAGTCCACGAAGTTTGCATTTAATTCACAAGAAGACAAGTTTCAAAAATGGCTCTTAAAATACCTTTATATTTCAAATGGCCTTTTCCCCCACCTCCTCCAAGAGCACTGCTTTAGGATGGACTACACCTAGGTATAAGATCTTCCAGTAGGAGGACTCGCATGTCCTCCGGGAATCCTCTGCAATCTGCTGGTTTCGACTGACTGCCATGCGGGTGCCCCATCCTACCACCCAGCTAAGCTGCAGGGGTGGAGGAGGAGGAAAGTACCCTCGCATCTTCCAGCTCCTGCTCAGTACCTCGCCTGATCAGACCTTTAAAACGTGTCGCCCCTCACCAAGCCTGAACTTGCAGCCACTTTCGCCCCCACAGAGCCGCTGGCTGAAATCGGCTGGGCCGTCGGCACTACCGGCTGCTCTGGCCTGCACTGAGGCATCAGAAACACCATGGGGACACCACGGTGGCCAGACACCCTGAGGGCTGCTGCCCCACTCTTTTTTTTCCAAGGATGGCTGGCAGGGTGGCATGGATTTGGCTCCACTCGCCGGGTGCCATGGAGGGAGCCACCCCTCTGGCGGCAAGCATCAGGCAGCTAATGGGCTAAGCCGCCTTTGCAGTTATTTTGGCAGAAACAGTCCAGAAGAAGGGTGAGGAAACGGTCCAAAAAAAGCAAGGCTGCAGAGAAGAGGACCCTGTACCTTCTGATTCAGAACAGAATTACAGAATATCCGTGCCTCAAAGACCATGCAGCAACGTGCTCCTTGCAAAAGTCCCAGGCTGCAGAAACAATCTCACCAGGGAACAGAGGCGCCATTTTCCTTCAATAACTTCTCCTTCCTTGAAGCTGATGGTGTCAAATCTTGTCACCTGTATCCTGGCTTCACCATGAGACTCACCTCATTGCAAGCAATAAGAATTAAATACTGAAGGTCTTCAAACTAATTATCATCTATTTCTGGCTTTCTCAGTTTTCAGGAACACCATCGACAGCCACTGTGGTCGTCAGTGCGGGCTCATGCCGTGCTCTGCCTCTTGCTCCCCCTTATTCTCCAGCACAACTTTGCTTTCTCTAGCACATGGCTATGCCTCTCAGAGTGGAGCGCCATGTTCTTAATATGGTACTTTCATCGGTAATCAGTTGGAAGAACTCAATTTTAGAAACAGAATTTGTGTGCAAAGCGTGCAACAAGAAATACAGTTTACATTTGGTCATAGTGACCTACCTTAGTTATGCTACCATGACTCACACGGATTAGTATACTTACACACACACACACGCACGCACACACACATGTACACACACACATAGATATTTATTTATATACACGCTCACACAATAAGAAAATGTCTAAGTCTGACAGTATTTCCTCCTCTTTTAGTGAAGATGGGAGTTTGGCATCTCAGGCTCTGAATCTGCTTAAACCTGGGATACAGGAATGCGACACACTTCAAGTATACAGCGACTGCACAGTGATAACATCGCACATTGAGTCTGACACATGCTGTCTTCAGTGGTCCAGCACCAGCACGTGGCTTAAAACCAGTTGCCCGTTAAAGGAGCCAATATTCGGGACCTTCGCCTTTCAGTTTTCGTATTCACACAACGCCCGAGAGCAGGGCGATAGTCTGTACAACCATAAGCGTCCTTCTGTATAAACGCAGTGGTATTTAAAAGTCTGAACCAGTGCATTCCTCTCTCACATTCCTCCTCTACTCCTTAGTTGCTGTTACTCTCGTATGCATGTGAAAGTAAAAGGTAGTGGGGAAATAATTTTAGTAGAAGAACACAAAGCCTCTCCTCTAAGTCCACAGAAGACCACTAAAAGTGTAAAATTTCCAAAATAGCTTATAGGAATTCTTCAAATACAGTAAGTGTTTTCAATGGGGTTTACATATCACGTTTCACATTATTTCCACGGAAGTCTACCTTATCACTTTGTTTAATCAGACAAATATCAATAACACATAATAAAACAGCATACAATTCACAGGACACGACACGTTTTACAAAACCTCTAAAACTCAGCACTGCCGCTTTTGGGAAAAATCAAAAACTCCTATTACTTACAGACATGAAATACACTTCACATTGAAATGAACAGCATGATTACAAGGCTTTTTTTCTTATCTGATGGCATTGGTTTAGGATGCGTTAGTTTTCAATTAGGTTTCACAATTTTTCTTCACACCCCCAAAAGGAACCACTGCTAACCTGGTATTTTCTCTGTGCTCTTTCAGGAAACTTACTGTTATTCAGTAAACACTTTTCGAGAAAAAAAAAACTTTTGAAAAATTAGCTTGAACCCCTAATTGTAAAACCTGAAGAACTGGCTGATGGTAATGCTCATAACACAATCATCGCTCCGCTTACAATGACAAACCAAAAAAATATTACAGGAGGGTACAAACACGTTAAGCCACGGGTTTGGTTTTCTCTGTTGTAGGTTTTTTTTTTTTTTTTTTTTTTAAATGAACTCCTTTTCTCACAATGCTGAGAAGTCTCTGACTTACAACGCTTCAGCAGTCGTGTCTGTGGAGACAGACATGGTAACTTTGGCAATCTTAACTGTGCTCTTAATGCAGCTCTCGGCAGCCCTGTGCACGTTCCCCGTGTTGTTGGCGTGTTTGTGCTGGCAGTCAGACTCCATGCTGTTGTCGAGGGGCTGCGCGGTTCCTTCGCAGGTGGGGAACATGCTGCGGAAGGCGTGTCGCAAGTCCTTGCTCCTCAGAGCATAGATGATGGGATTCACTGTTGAATTCAGCAAACAGAGCATGCTACAGAAGGCAAAGACAGTCTTGATGAGCTTGTTCATTTTCCCAAAGACATCGTACACCATGATGGCGAGGAGAGGGCCCCAGCATATGATTAAAACAACTAGGATAAGGACCAAGGTTTTGGCTAACCTGATGTCCATACGAGTTTGATCAGGCCTAGTGATCTGTACCTTACCATCCTCCGTAGACTGAATGATTATGCTTTTCTGCGTGCCCCGCTGAATCATGCGAACAGCGTGGCTGTGAGCCTTCCACAGTATGTACATGTAGGCATAGACAATGAACAGCAAGAGGACGCTGGTGACCCCGATCCAGAACATCAGGTACGTCTCGTCGATGAGAGGGAAAATGTCCGAACAAACAGAGTTGAGCTTTTTGCAGTTCCAGCCGAGCAGAGGAAGAACGGCTATTACAATAGCGATGGTCCACATCACACAAAATGCTACGACAGCCTTTGGTCGGGTAACAATCCTTTTGTAAGCTAGTGGCCTGTGTATAGATATGTACCGGTCTATTGCCGTGAGGAAAAGGCTACCTACAGAGGCGGTGAAGGAGGCTGTAACTCCACCCAGTTTGAACAAGAAGACGTTGGGGCTGTCCTTCCGGTGGAAAACATGGAAATCCACAAAACTGTAGACAAAAATCACACTGCCCAGGAGGTCGGCCACAGCCAGGCTGCCGATGAAATGGTAGGACGGTCTACACCGGAGGCTTCGGGAGTGGAGGATGACGCACAAGACGAGCAGGTTCTCTAGGACCGTGAAGGTGCCCAGGGTGAGCGACAGCACAGCGATAGCCAGCTGCTGGCTGGGGTTCAGGATCATAAAGCACTCCATATCCATGAAGTTCTCCCCACACTGTATGTTCTCCTCATTTTCCTTAAATGTGGACAGGGACTTGTTGTAAAACTCTGTGATGTTGACCTGATCTGAGGGAATAATGCTCAACAGGGGATCATCTCCCGCAGTCATTTTTTCTTGGAAAGGATCACCCCTGAAGGAAGAGAGGGGAAACTTCTGGGGGTAGTATCCCAGCTTGGATGCCATGTCGCCTTTCATGTCTTCGTACTGGATATCGTTGGAGCCCACGTAAAGAAGATCTGTTGTGATTGTTCGGAAAGTTGTATCTGCGAGGCCATCTAGGACTGACTTCATAACCCCAGTCTTGTTGGTTTCAGAGAGACTTGGGGGAGGGAAAAATGCATCAGAGGGAATCCTAGAAGGGGAAAAGATCAGAATTCATTAAGATAAACAGGGAGACAAACACCACAAACAACTTAGTTGAACTGTGTCAAACAAAATTGGCCTTTCTCCTCTCTTCAGTGCCAGGGTGAGTTGAGCACTTAGAAAGGAATCACCTGGATTTCACTAAAACTGAATTATACTGAGAAATGGCATGAAAACCAGAGGCACAGGGAATTGAGTATTCCACAGGACAGTAATTTTCATTTCTCATCAAAACCTTCCAAGCTGCTCCACCAGAAAGATATTTTTCTCTACATCTGAACTTGGCTTCTGATTGCAAAGTACCTTGCAGACCAATATTCCTTGGGCTTGCTTCATTTAGATAATACCAAGTGCCACTGCAGGAGCAGCATTAAATTGAATCATCACCTTCATTGCTTTTCTTTCAAAAGGCACCGAGGGTATTGAAAACCTGACAACAGAGAGGGAACGGGGGAAGAGCCATGCACTCTAAGTTTTACTGTTCACCCCGTATGCCTGTATATTCACATTAGCCTGTCACAGCAATCTGAGGTCTACTAACATCCTGAATTTGTCACTGCAAATTTATTAGCAAGGTATTTAATCTACAAATATAGGGATCTGGATATAGCCTCATTGCTTTATTCCTTCCATCTGCTAAGCATATCTGGGTGACTGGGATGTTTGGACTCCATGGAGGAGGTGGGTTGTTAACCCAGCCCTGTCCACAGTTTTAGGAAAGGTGACCAGCACCACTCAGTCAGTGAGTGCATCAGTGACCCATTCTGCATGGATCAGAAGCCTCAGTCAGAGCAGTTCACCCTTGCCTAGAAAAAGATGGCACCGACTTTGGGTCAGAGTGCAGCTCTGGCCAAAACTCCAAGGAAAAAGGACGAGGAGCCACCGCTCCTGTGAGAAGCACGAAAATGTAACTCATCCCATTGGGGACACCCTCAGAAACATGCTGCCCCCTCAGAAATGAGGAGCCCAGCAGAATGTTCCTGGGTAGCCAGTGATCTCCGAGTCCCATCATGCCCAGCCTTTGCTTGTGGATGGTGATCAATTGCAGGGTGCAAGTCCTGGTCAGGGCACCTTTGGGAGAGCACCCTCATCAGCATCTGGCCATCCCACATGCATCAACATGTAAGACAGGTCGTACAGGTCTTCTTAAGCTGTGCTCCTTTATATAACTTTGCCCATGTAACATGCCCTGAATAAGCGTCGAATGTCTGCTTTAGGGCTCCTTTCCACTGCCAGAGTTCTACAGCTATTCTGCATCTGCTACGGGACATTTCAATGATTACATCTGCAACAGGAGCAAAACCTAGCTTTTTCATGCTTTTAGAACAGAGGAAATTGTTTGTGACAGCCAAAAATCCCAGATGCTGTATATAGGCTTGTACTGACTTAACCTGTTCACTTTACACAACTGACAATAAACATCCAGAAAGGCCACAAGAGATTATCTGCCAAAACCCAGAGTACCAATCACCTCAACTCCTCAAGAGGAGACTTGCACAGTAGGTACCACAGCTCAATTTTCTCATGAAAACGAAAAGAAAGAAGAAACCAATTCATCTCTACAACACCACCAATACTTAAAACCAGAAGAATTCACGAGCATTTCCAAAAGAAGCAGAGATCATTTGGCTGATGAGATATATATACTGCACTTTCGCATGGCATCTGAACACTCAAGACTTTTTCCATAGTTCATTAAAGTTGTCCATTTGATTCGGCAGGCCTGGACATTGAGTGTTAGAGGAAATATAAGAACTTAGACTTCCAGAAGACACCGCGACTCCAGGGCTGCAAACAAGGCTGAGTATAAGCAACCCTTACCAGGATAGGCTAACGCACAACACAGACACTTGCTGCGTCAGCTTTTGCAGACATCGTTGTTCAGCAAATGTAATTATTAGACAGACAGACAATATTAAGGAATTGAATTTTGAGGGTTTGAGCAGGGAGGGAGGGAAATGTTGCTGAAGCCCACATTAAAAACGAACAGCAATAATCTAACATGTAACGTACTTTTCATCCAGAAGGTGCCTTACATCTGTTCCTAGTAGAATTTGCAGATGTTACATGTTGCATAGATGACCCTGCTGACAACTGACAAATCTGCTTTGGGTGAAGTCTGGCAACTTTAAACTTGGCATTATAACACCAGTTTAAAACCAGAAGTGAAGAATGTGTTAATTCATTTGAAAACTACCCCCAAAATATCAAGTAAATCAAGTAGTTCTATAAACATATAAAGATGGCTGTGGTATTCTCTGTTATTCCAGCGTATTTCTGACAGAAAAAAAGACAACCATTTTAATGATTAAAGCCACAGCCCCATGTTGAGAAGATTATGTTTGAGTAAAGCTTCAAAAATTGCATGCAACGGAGCACTTCTGCTAGACAGACAAACAGATTGTCATGAGGTAGCTGGTCCCTGCTGGAGTCATGTTAAGTACAGACTTCCTCGGAATAAGGTGCAAGCCACCGTGCAACCTCTACCTTTGTTTGAAATACAAATGAAAGAACATGAATTCCTGCGTGCTCTTTTGAAGGTGGCAGTGAGTTATGTGACAACATCGCTATGCATGCATATGCTATGCTAACAACATAGTTAATGGGATCAGGAGAGGCAAGTCTTACTCTGAATTTCAATGATTCTTTTTTCCCTCTGTATTTTTACATTGAGATTATTACAGTAATTTCCACCTTATTGTCTCTGCAAAGAGAGTTTTCTTTGAGAGTACTTGTGAGTTCATTAGTGGTGTAGTTTAGGCTTTGGGGGATGCAGCTGACATTAATTTTGTTTTTGTTTGCTGCTGGGAATATCATAATTGGAAATTTCTAGCAGTATGTGTGCGTGCACCTATTCAAGTAGCAGTTGATTTTTATTAAAGTTGCAGTAAAACAGCCATTCGCCTGATCTGGAATTGCACCTTACCGGAATTTTATTTTAATGTAGATACTAGCTTGCCCCGCTGTAAGCTACAACACTGAAATGCGCCGAAGTGATCAGCGAGGTTTTCCATGGCTGCCTAGCAAAAACAAGACTGGACTTTTGGCACTGAGGTTACCAGGAGAGCCTGGGTCACAATCTGAGGTGTTGCACAATTTGACATAGACTGAAATGCTGATGTTTGGGGAGCAGTGGTCTGGTTCCTGGTCTTTTTGTTTGGTTAGATGGACGTGCCAGTATCACACAAATTTTGGCTCCGAGCTCTTCTGTCCGAACCTGGAGTGGTGAGGAGGCACTTGCCCACAAGAACAGGACAGTGCACTCCACGTGGCCACGCTGCTCTTGGCAGCTGGCTTCAACACAACCCAAACCCATATTGCCCGAGACCCATTAACATCTCTACACTAAATGCCCTGGGAGCCTTCTCACAGCTTCCCTAGTGGACAAGGGTCCCCTGCACAGATCCCTCCTCTCTGGACCAGGCTGGGGTGATGGCTGGGTGCCGCAGCAAGGTCCCCTTGTGGGCAGGGGGGCAGCAAGGGAGAGCCACTCTTCCAACAGAGCATTTGAGTCTCCAAAGCTCTCAGCTTCGTCCCTTCCTTAAATGAGCTCTACCACCCCACTCATTTTAAAATGGCTTTAAAAAGAACTGAAACATTGATTAAAGATGAAGAAGAGCCCATGCTGATGCCGGCACTCAAAATTTTCCGTGTATTTCCATGACCGCATGCAGCAATTCACAGTAAGTAATGAATTACGATTACGGACAGGATTAAACAACAGATAAATATTTCAAGCATCTTTTATCTTGAAGACCAAAACCAGAAACCCCATAGCTGAACACCATTTTAGACTTTTCTCCCATCAGCCGGCGGCTGTTGATGGGCACCGCCGGACCAGCTGTGCAAAGTGACTGCCACTAGATGGAGCGGCTTTTACAAACACACGGCTTCGCTGCCTGCAGACACCTGGATTTAGCTTCCTCTAGCGCTTTTTTCCCAGCCTGCTTTACTGGGGTTCAAACATATGAGGTGTTAAACATCAGCTGAAGGCTGAAGACATAACTTCGTAAGGCTTCACCCTCAAAGCGGAAGAATTAGTGAAGAGTTGAGGGGGCAAGTCTTACTGCTGCCCTCCACCGTGTGGCTACCCATAGCCTTAAAAGAAGTTTGGATGCTATCAGAATATAAAGACCCCTTAGGTAAAATATATAATAAGTAAAAGGCTGGTAACTCATCTTGGACAACAGGGAGAAATCCTCCCCTGGACTTCTCATTGGTCCACAGGACCAGTTCCCTTGGGGAACAAGAACATGACTTCATTAAAATGCTATTACCTATCTTCTCCTGCTGTTCTGGTGGAGATGGAGGGCTGGAAAGTTTTTATCGTTGCCAAAAAAAAGGGCTGAATTTATTATCATTTTCAAGCCAGGATGATTGATAGAGCAATTTTAATAGCCTGAATAGAAACAGTGAATATTTGCGTTCTTCCTCGGAAAGTAATTATGAGCAATACAATGATGCTACTGATAACTGCAAAAATGTTGATGTGGCAAGGAAAGGAATCAAAACAAGAAAGGGAAATCCACAATCAAACCTTTTTAGCTTCTATTTTAGAAAATATTTTGATCTCCATGTCTATACATTTCTTCTATGATACCCACAGCTAATAAAGAACAGGCTAAAGGACAAGTAGGTATAATTGAAACATAGTTTTTGAATGCACAAAAATATGTAAATGCATTCTCCTTGCTTACACGTTGTAAGGCTTGTAAGACCTTTGCAGGCCTTTATCTTTCAATAAGGTTGCACAGTGCCCAGTACGCTGGGACTCCTATCAAACTGGGTCTACCACAGGAGAAGCAGCAGTAATTTATACTCGTGTGTAGTCAGCTGAAAAAGTGTGAGAGAAATGAGATCTACCATAGTAACTGTTGGCCTCCAGGAATTAGAACTGTCCTATAAAATGAAAATTTATATGGCTAATAATTACCTTACCCCATATGGCGATGAACAATACCGCTTCGAGGACAGCACAAGGTTTCTAAGCCTTGGAGAAAGAAATGCGCAGACTGAGAAATGGCACTCTAAGACTCAGTAACACCGAGCAAGAAAAAAAAACATGTTGATGAGAATGTGAAAGCAATGTTATCCCTATCCTATTTACTCTTTTACTACTCCATCTCCAACACTGTGCTACTCCTAGGCTATAAATGGCAGATACACTGTCACTCCTAATTCGGGAAAACTTGCGTTCAGTTCAGTGAATTTTCTCTGTCTGAGGGATGGGGAAGGAGCGCAGACACCAGGAGAGGAGCGAATGAGGGATGCTCTCTCCTAGTTACAGTAAGGCACTATCAGCTATGGGGAAACCTGGAGCATGCACGTACTGAACCAAATTTTATTCTTATCTAACGTGATGATATCTTTGGCAAGTTGAACCTTAATTAGCAAGAAACCAGGGCTACATGGTTATTTATGTCCATTAACATACCGTTTGCACACTAGTGGGATAGGGGCTGGATTGTTCTAATTTGGGGGCAAACTGCCCCTACGTGACACCACCCAGCATCCAGCAGCTGACAATCTGAACAACAAAAACAAAACAGTAGGGAAAACAGAGCGTTAATCAGCGACCGACAATGTTTTCAAAAGATATAACATTATTTCTTCCCTCCAAAGTCTTGTTGGTGAGATGTGTGTACCAGTTTTAGCACAGGTGACTTGCAGGCACAGAGAAAAAGAGGCTGTGTCTAATTTTTCAAACAGCCAGGGCATACATGTGTGTCTAAGATCAGAGAGGTTCAAAAGCGAGGTTGAAGTCCTGCTCCGTTTGGTGCAGGTGAGGGACCCCAGCTTTGCTCTCCTGTGAGCCAGGTGAGCATGCTGATGTTCTGCTGCCCGTCTCCAAAACTGCTCGCGTTGTTCCACACTGGATCAAGAGTTAAACATCAGGAAATAAAAGCACTGGGGAGCACACCTGGCAGGTGAGAGGCTTAGTTTGAAGCCCTTTCTCTGAATTAAGGGAACCGAAGATGTGTCTCCCACATCCCACCAGCTGTAGGGGGGAAGAGC